GATCCGTTCCAACCCTTAATCTATGAATCTATGAATCTACCCCTGCTAGGTCAGGATGTCTATCAGGACTATGGTTGTGTTCTAACCAACGACTGTGGCTGTGGCTCCATGAGACACTGACTATGCAGTCATTTAGTATGTGTATAAAAAAGACCTAAATGACTGCACAGTAACCTGAGTTACTGTGCAGTACCACCGACAAATGACTTTTTCGTGACGCTACTGCACAGTAGCTGAATACTGCTGCGTAGTAGTGTTGCATCACGGTTGTTGCCATGTGACGCTATTGCATAGTAGTATCAGGCTACTGTGCAGTCAGCATCTCATGTAGATACAGCCCATGTAACACAAAATTCATAAACAAACCGGGGGCAGGGACTGAAACGCAGAGCTTTTCCTCCATCCGTGGGCCCAAACCACTAGGTCAGAGTTTCTCAATCTGTGGGTCACAAGCCAAAAGTGGGTCGCAAGAATATATGAAAGGGTCACGAATAAACTTTAAAAATGGATCAACAAACTTTAAAAATGGATTCTCCTTTGCAGGAGAAAGAAGTGGGAAACTGTGGGTTTTCCCTTGCAGGCTGGCAGAGTTCCAGCCTGCAAGGGGCTGCTTGGGGCCCTCCTGCCCCACAAACACCCACCCTCTGCCCGACATCCACTCCCTGCCCAACACTGCATAGCTGGGGCCTGGGAGTGAGGGGCCAAGGAACTGTCTTCTATTTAAACTATTTTCTGGATCAGGAGTAGACATCAACATTTACAAATGAATCCTGGTAAAAAAAAGGTTGAGAACCACTGCACTAGGTTACGGACTCTCATTCCCTCCTGCTTGCTCTGTACCCATCCCTATAATCTTGGGGTCCTTGGCAGTACATTAGCCTTCCTTCAAGGGGAGGTGGATACCTCTCCTAGCGTACCCAATGTATTGTCTGGTCCCTAGAGCACTCTCCTGGGAAAAGTCATGAGATTTGAATCCAGGCTGAAGAAGACCCTAAGCCTTATTTCTTGGGTGAGTGCACTAAGCTATTATACCATATATATTTAGCATTTCCTATTGGTCAATTCTAGGGAGCTCCCCACTCAACAGGCAGGTGTTTTGCCTACTCTTGCTAGGCACTCCTGGGAGTGGAGGCACCTCACTGTAAGAGAACTATTTTCTTGCACCTTTTCTCCCCAAATCAGCACCTGCACTCCTGAACTGGGGTTCATGTATTAAGTGGGGAAGCTGATTTTTTGCCTGAGCTAGAAGCACTCGGGTTTGATTCCTGCTCCACAGTGTAGCATCGGTGGCATTGCTATTTAGATAGCTGCTTAGGGAGAGTTAACTTAATGGCTCTTTGTTCCCCACTCCAGAGGTGTTAACTATCATCTCTCCTTTTTAATCATCTTGATGTCCCACTAATCAAGCTAACCTTTCTTTGGGCAATTTTGCTGTCTGCTAGCTGCTCCTAGTATCTCCCCCTATTTCACAGACTTTTTAGCTCAGACTCGTTATCCTTTCAACACAGATCCTTTAGCTCTTTTCAAAATCATAGATTCACCCATGCAGATAAGTCTTTAGCAGCAGCTAGGGATTCACCGGTAGTTAAGCAAGAAAGGGAGGGTGAGTAACCTGAAGACTAGGTTCTGCCCCTGCTGTACGCAGCCAGAACTCTGGACAAAGCTTTTTCCCCCCCCTCATTCTGTCTTTCAAAAACAAGGTGCCTCCTGTATTCTGGGATGCATTGTTTGAGAAAATATGGCAAGCCCTGACATGTTCTGACCAGGGTTTTTCCTCTCATAGAGTTTAGGCGCTCGGTGACTACAAATGGACTTCTTGCTTAGAAGAGTGGTTCTCAACTGGGGTCCTGTGACACCCCGGGGTGTTGCAAAACCCTTTTGGGGGGTTACATGGCATGACCAGGAAGGACTGCAACACAGTGCCCGCTTCTGCCTATGCTAGGATTCTTCAATAATCCGAAAGCAGGCAAGAGTCCCTGGTCCTGCCACAAGCCTTCCCAGTCTGACCCTGCATGGCATCTCCTGGGACCACAGACACCTCCGGCAGGTGAAACTGTCCTGTGCACCTCTTTCCAGGAGGATTGGGGGGGTGGGGCTGGACTGGGAAGGTTGTGTGCCACAGGGCCTGTGCACCCTTGTGGGCAGTGTGGCTCTTTAAAGAGCCATGGACCTGTTATACTCAAATATTCCTGCTTTAGTAGGGGGAGCGGGACACCTGTTTGTGGAGCAGTGGCTTTAGCTTCCCCCCCGCTCCCAAGTGCCTGGTCCCTGGATCCAGCTGGCTCTTGGGAACAGGATATTCAGGAGAGCAGGCAGCTGGAGGAGACAAGCGGGTCCTTGCAGGGGAAACCACAGCCTCTTGGTGATCTGGAGAGGCTGATTCCCAGGCATGGGTCATGGGGAGAGGAATCGGCATTGAAGGGGACAGTTTAACCTTAAATGCTGCTGCCCTGACTAGCACCAAGCACAGGGAAAAACACCCATCATCTGGACAGCAGCAAAGGGTCCCTCCCCACAGCAGGACATTGCTGAAAAGCTGCCTCCTCTTTCACCAGTCAAAGCCCAGGAAGGGACTATGGACTCCAAAAGGGCAGGAGCACCTAGGGCAGAAGGCAGCTCCAGAAGAAACTCCTGTCCAATCTGCTGCCCCTGCCTGCTTCTATGTATTATTTACTTTAAGAAATGCAGCTGCAAACTGAGGCTGGGATCTGCTGGAGAGTGAGCAAGGGGGAAAGAGAGATGGAGCCTGTAGGGCAGGGAGACAATGATTTAGGCAGGACCATCCCTGCTTGAAGACATGGGCCCTGGTGTTCAGAGAGCTGGAGCTCAGCACCTCTGGTAAATCAGGTCTCTTTCAAGTGTCTCAGCTGAACCCTGCAAAAACAGGAGCACCCTGAACAGGGATTCTCAACCAGGGGTCCCTGGACTTGGTGCATCAAGGCAAACTTGGTGGAGGGATGAAGTTGGGCATACCTCCCTTGCACAGGGAAAAGGAGGGACTCCGCAGAGTGCCACTAAATTCAGAGAAATTATGGAGGAGCCTGCAGTCTATACAGGTTGAGAACCACTGGCTTAGAGTTTGATTTAATCTGGCTGGCAGCTCTGCTGCTGCTTCTGCATTCCCTCTTATGGAGACACTGTCTGGGAAGGTTGCAGATTGTTTGCTGCTACTTGTTACATTTCTAGTGAGGACTTTCTCTGCTGTCTGTCAGGTTTCATTAATTTTAGAGGGAGGGTATAACAGAGAGCCTGGGGCTCCCTGTTACTTTAAGATAAAAGCAGCTCAGCCAGGGAGCACTGCAGGCTAGGCAGGACCCAGCAGCTGCAGGTCCCCAGGGCAATAGACTAATGGAGCAATTAGCAGGCACCTGCAGGTGGTCAGCTGATCAGAGGTAGGCGGGGCCCTGGGAGCATATAAGCCCAAGAATGGGGCTGGCCAGGGAATCTCTCCCTGGCAGCTGCAGAGGAAGGAGCTCCTCCTGCCCAGGAAAGCCACCTGGGGATGCTACGCTGACTGGTTTGTTGCCTGCAGGAACAGTGAGGCTCAGGGAGCTCCCCAGGAGCCCAGGCTGGGAGGCAGGTTGTGCTAGGGAGTGAAAGTTCGCACTCTCTCTTAAAGGGACAGTGGGCTGTTATCCCTTTATGTTATGTTATAGCCTGGGGGCTTATGTTTACATTGTGTTTAAACTGGTGGTGCCCAAGTGGCACACAACTGCCTTGAGCTATGCCAGGGGCAGGCTCAAGGCCCGAGCTACTGTTGAGCCCAGAGAGGGGCAGAGTGCAATGGCACAGCAAGACAGGAGCCAGGGACCTGGCGCTCAAAAGGAGTGCACTCACACAGGGGCCAGGGGCCCAGCACCCAAAGCAGGGCATAACAAGATAGGGGCCAGGGGCTCGACACTCAAAAAGAGTGCAATCACACTGGGGCCAGGGGCCTGGTGCCCAGGAGGGGCACAGCAAGAAAGGGGCTGCGGGCCCAGTGCTCCAGAGGAGCACAGCCATACAGGGGCCAGGGGCCTGGTGACCAGAGGGGATAGACTGAAGTTAGTGCCTCAAAGCCAGGTCTGACATAGCTAGAAGGCCTAGCCAGATTAAAGGGGTGGAGGCTGAGGAGGTTGAAGCCGTAACAGTGGGAACAACATTATAGTAATATCTGTGAGGCATGGGGCATGGTGTAGGGAAGGATTTGGAGCCATGCAATTAACCCTTAAGGCTTTGGGTGCCCTGCCAGGCACAGTTGACTATAGAGACCCAGTGAGAGGCCTGAGGACCAGTAGGTTGCTGAGAAACCCTGGCAGGGCTTCAGTGGAACTGGGGCCATGCAAGGGCCCATTGGCAACCCCCCTATTCCATATTAATTGTTACACCATAGAGGCATGGCGGGTGAGATGGGAAAGCACCCTAGAGGCAGAGTGGGGCATGGTTGCAGGGCCACCAAGGGGCATCACAGTCACCCATGGGATCCCAACCTTGTTATAGACAGTTACAATGGAAATGAGTCTGCAATGAAAAATACAATGAAAATACTTTTTAAATGAATGCCCTACTGCAGTGTTCAATCTCCTCCCCCAAAGAATCTCTGAAATTGAAACTGACTTCATTGGTTTTGTTTTCTTCTCAATCAATCTATGTATTTATACACCCACCATCCTCCTTGGAGCTGAACGCCAGGACTGAATCAGAGAGATCTAGGGCTGGAAGAGACTTAAAGGGATCACCTACTCCAACAGGCCATCCACACGAAGGCCAGGTCAGCTATGTAAGTGGCGGGGAACTGAATTTTAAAAATTCTTGTGCTCCTAATAATCTGCTGGGGTATTAAGGGATGTTTGTTCTCTGCACAAGTCTTTAAGTCTGTGGTGTCCTTCTGCATGTCATACTGCAATAGCACAAATTATTTCTCATAATAGGTAAATAAAAATGAACTACGGCTCCGAACAGTAACGTTTTGAAGCACTGCCACCTTGTGGCAACAGAGATTGTGACACATTGAAATCAACATTGCAATCAACCCATTGACAGTCAGTGGGCTGCGTTCTACTCTCCACCAAGGCACGTGTGAAGGGGCCTTGACAAGGCCCCCTTGACTTTGAGCTGAGCAAAGTTTATTTATGCACCATATGCTTAAAATTTCTGATCGTATTGATAGCAATGAGTGTTTTGGCCCTGACCTCAATGCAGCCAGGATTTCACTCCTATTGTGGAGAATGCCCTTGCAAGCAGAAATGATAAGGTGGTAATTATCAGACCCTGAGTGTTTTTTGTTTCCAAGCCCGTTTTACTGCGGTTCACCTTAATCAGACCTAAAAATCAATCTGTGCCTGTCTTTTTTGGCAGTAGCATTTGTTTTACTGAAAGTCACCAGAAATGTGTACCAAATTGCTTAGTAAGCGCTTTCCATCAGAGTCCAAAGTCTTCATTTTAGACAGTATGATGCTTCCTCAAGCTTGCCAAGTCCTTCTGGGTTTGATCTATTTTTAATTAGTGCTTTCAGGCTTTTACTGTCACCATCGTGAAGGGCAGTTGCCTTGGCACAGTCTCATTTGTGTGCCTGTGTGTTAGTGTTTATGTCTGAGCAGGCAGTTATAACAGGAGTGAACATTGTTCAGGCTCCTGCACGTGTCAGAACAAGAGAGAGGAAAGAGCTTGGGAAATTTGTTTGCTCGGCTGCTCCAGGAGGGGACGCTAGGACACGTGGCTGGAAAGTCAGCGTGCCTTTAACTAGAGGCCTGATGGTTGGGTATTTCCTCTGCTCTACTCTCTCATGAATTTAAATTTCCACTATGCCAGACTGACAGTTCTTCTCTTTGTCACAGAAAGCATGTGGGGCAGTCAGGAGTATTGCAAGCTATTAGGAAAGAAAAAATAGCTTCTCTCTGAAATAAAATAATCACCTCATGATGTGATGTATGTATGATTTTCCCTTTGGTTTGCTCCCCTATTACAGATTATTGTATAATCCAATATGCAGAATCCTAATCCCAGTTTTGACCCTCTTGATTTCTAGGCTGCTCTGTTACAAATTAGATATTTATTATCTGCCAGGGTACACTCCTGTCACATTCTGCCCCTCTGATCTTCTGGAAGTGGCTGTCCTCAGGTACCTCTGACTTCAATAGCAGATAAGAGTACTCAGCACTTTCCAGGGGAACACAGTTGCAAGGTTGGGCCATCATCATCTATTTAAACAAAACTGGCTTGCTTTGGGAAGGGCAAACCCAGGGCCAAGTCTCAGACTTGCACTCCATGAAGCTATGCATGACAAAATGGTACCAAGTAAGCAGAATCCTCCTACTTCTGTTTAAGAAGGTATTATTGCTAGAGCAGGTGCAGTCACAACTCCAGGGCAGGGCTGGATTGAATCACTTGCCTCAAGGAGCTCACACTTTGACTTCAAGACATGAGGCACTCAGAGGTTACAACAAACTAGACTGGAGGGGAAGGAAGAGAGAATTTCAAGGAGACAGTGAAGCAATATGAGGAAGCATGAAGAGCAGTGACCACAGCATACCAACTTCCTAGCCACTGGTGAGCGTAGTCTTCTGGCTTTCTACTGGATTCACTGGAGATGCTCTTTTTAAGGTGCAGACAGAACTGACAATGTTTGTCCAATCTGGCCCCTGAAAGCACTCTACAGTTGTGACCAAACAGAAGTTCACAGCTGTAGAGTGCTTTAAGAGGGCCTGATCCTGGAACAGTCTGAAGCCTCATTACATAAGGGTTCAGATGAAGGTGCTGCAAAACAGAGTGACCTCAGTAACTTCTGTCTGTGCTTGCTGGGAGCAGGGCTCAGCTGATGCAGTCCAGCACTGTTCCCGGTGCTGTTTTCAGAACGGGAGGTGGGGAAGGGAGCGGAGGGAGCTCATTCTGGGGGTTGCCCAGCCTGCGCTGGAGGGTGGGGCAGGTGGATTGGAGCTCCCTGCCAAGGTGGGGAGCTTCAATCCACCCCCTTTCCCCACTCCAGCGCAGGCTGGAGAAACCCCAGAACAGGTCTTCCTCCCCTGTCTTGTCTTCCTTCCATCCGGAGTCAGCACAGGACCTGGAAGAGGGGGGCAGAGCTAGGGGAAGAGGTTGCAGAGACACTGCCTCTCTCCCCAGATGGGCTCCAAATTGAAGCTTGATCTCCCACCCTCCTGACCCAAAAGCTAGTGTGTGTTGGGTCGGGTGGATCAGTCTAATTCGTAGCCCTTCCTGTGAAGGACCATGAGTTAGACCTGGGAGTTGCACTTCTGTCTATCCCTTTACTGTCCTGGCTTTCAGTAGATCAGCCCTGTGCTAATTTGTGTCTGTCAGCATGCCTCTTACAAAGAGAGGAGAGGAGATACCAAGTACCAGGTTCAAAGCCCATTATAGCACTGCAAATGGGAGTGTTTGAATTCACTTTACTGGATCTTGGATCAAGCTTTAAATTCAGAATTCTTAACTGGAAATTAACATTCATGTTTCTGGTTTTCCTTTTATCAGATGAAAGCCCTTTGCCAAGCGGTTTATACAGGGCTTTCCTTGTTTACTAGTATTATTCAGATCAAGCAGAGGCTTCTGTTCAGAGCTTACTACACAGAGGAAATGAAGTCAGATCTATCTTCATTTGCTTGTTTTAGCTAGAATTGGTTCAAAATCAGACCCCTGGATCCTAAAACTCTCAAACTTTGAGTTACTTGTAGTCTAGAACATAATACAGTATCTGATGCTGACATTCATTTTAACCAGTCCTTTTTCAGATAGCAACTTTAATAGGCAATTTTTTCCTTCTTAATGTACTATGCTATCCCCATTTCCTTAGTGATGTGACAGGTTAGGTAGATACTTAGGATCAGATAACTTTTAAGGGTCTTTTTTATGAATACATCTACAGTCCATGCACAAAGATACCTGTGCTTTTATTCAGTTACATTTATTCAGTTACATTTATGTGTGTGTATTATAGCTGAGAGCGAAAACAAGTATTTAAATATCTAAACACATTTGCACATGTATTTATAAAAACATAGGCCTCAGGTTCTCTTTCAACGTGTCCTTCTGTAGTTTGTGTTAGACCTAGTTTATATTCTTCAATCGAAAGACAGCTCCTGTACACAAATGATTTCCATCTTTGCTTTACCCGCTCCTGTTATATAAAGGAATAGTCTCTATTCATGAAAGAAACCATCCATAGTTACATATCTGAGCTTATCAGTCCCCCTCAATGTCTTATCTTTTAACTAAGGAAGTGGCTACCTTTAAACCCCAGGCACGGGGTTTAAAGTTGCACTGGGGGAAATCCTTTGAATCCTACTGTTAATCCCTTGAATCAAAGCCTTTGATCCCTGCATCCCACAGCCCTGCCAAAATTTACAGGCAGGGAGGTTTAAAGTCCCCAGCAGGAAAAGCCCTTCAGTTCCAGCCTTCTCTGACTAGGAGTGTCTGATTTCTGCACCCCCTCCCCCACCCTCCATGGTGGCCTTGGGCCCAGCTGGAGAACTAGAGCCACCCAAGGCTGGTGCTATCAATATTGCTGGCATGCAAGCTGCACACAAGGGCTGTCCAAGGCTGATTCCAGAAACCAGTTGATTGTCAGGCAACAGCTTCCTAGAGCCCTGGTATTTTGATGTGTTGCATGTTCAATTTACGGCACATACAAAACAGCCGTGAAAATCTTCTACATTGTATGTGGAACGTTTTTATGCCTGGTTCACCATTTTATTGGGTGAACATGTTAGAGCCCTTGCTGTTTATGCTGTGATGAACACATTAACCATAATCACTGCATAAATGTAATGTGTGGAGGTGTGCTTAGCCCTCTGGAAGCCACTATAACAAAAAATGAATCAGCGCTGTCGAGCCATGAGAGCAAAGTCTAGTCAGACTGTGATCCGTGTGAAAAGTCTTTGATGAAATGTCATGTCTCCTGTGAAGATTCCTGGATTGGGTCAGACAGAGGAGTCCAGTAAGTGTTTCTGTTGATCCTGATATGTCAAAACTAGGACTGTGTTCGCTGAAATGCTCAAAGTAGTAATAAAAATAAGCCCAGACGTTCTATTTAATACTTTGTAGCCACAAAGTAAATGACTGCTTTGCACGGGCCAGTCTCTTAGGGCAAGTTTCTTTGTAATGCGTGTCTGTATTCATGCTCATTCATTTACTGAAGCCAAGAATTTATCAGGGTGGGGCCAGGTGGAGGAGGTGTGAGGTCTTGGGGCCTGATCCTGATGTATGAGGTCTAATCCAACCCATAGACTGCCCCATAGATTCATAGATTGTAAGGCTGGAAGGGACCTCAGAAGATCATCGGGTCCAGCCACCTGCACGAGGCAGAAAATGACAGGTGGGGTCAGGCGACTCCAGCAAGATGACTATCCAGTCTCCTCTTGAAGATTTGTAGGGTAGGCGATTGCACCGTCTCTGGAGGGAGCTTATTTCACAGTCTGGACACCCTGACTGTGAAGAATTTTTTCCTAAGGTTGAGCCTGAAACCATCTTCCAGGAGTTCGTGGCCATCACTCCCAGTTCTCCCCAAGGGCACCCTGGGAAACAGTTGTTCACCGAGCCCCTGATGTACTTTTCTGATGTAGCGGTAAGCTGCTACCAAGTCCCCTCTCAGCCTTATCTTTTTTAGGCTGAAGTGTCCCAGGTCCCTCAGCCTTTCCTCATATACCTTGCCGTTCAAGCCTCTAATCAAACTAGTGCCTTTTCTGGACTCTCTCAAGTTTTACCACATGCTTGTTAAAGTATGGCACCCAGAACTGGATGCAGTACTCCACTTGGGGTCTCACCAGTGCT